TCTCGATATCTACTGTACATGTAGTGTGCTCCTGTACCTGCACTTTTTATACACTTCACCCGAAAATGTACTCATGTAACAGAACACGACTTTATTTTAATTAGACGATGTTTTTTTTCTTGTTTACCTCTACAGATATTAATGGACTCATGTAACAGAACACGTATTTATTTTAATTAGACAAGAAATCCATGATGAAAACCATGCAACATTTCCTTATTAGGTAATCCCTAAGAGACGTGTTTTAAATTAAAGATATCTAAAATATTATTTGGGTTAGTCATGCTTGGACCTTATCCAAAACTCGGTTATCATGTGATATACAGTTGATCAAAATTGAAATATGTTATGAAATTAACCAATCACATGAACTGTTACTGACTTTGACCTTTTCCATCTTTTTCTGACACTAAAAACATGTTCTGCACTTGTTGACTCTTGATGAAGTTTAACTTAACTAATTAAAATATTCAGATAATATTTCCTTTTGATCTGCATTTTAAAACAATCAAAGTAATTTAAATTCATTTATGTTTTTTTTTTCGAAAATGTTTTTCTCGTATTCCTCATTAGTAAATCAATGTCATGTATATATATGTAAAGTAAGAACCACATAATGATTTAATTAGCAGTTAATTAGTTTCTCTACAAAGGCATACAAACGTTCAATGCGATACGTCGCACAAAAAAACAAGCGTGAGAAGTTAGCGCCATTTGCCATCCATCATAGATACAATTACCGCAAGACCTCTTTCAACTGCTTATAGCCAAACGCCACCATACATCATTTAGCAACTAAATTTGAACTCATTACTGCGGAAAGACAGAAAACACTGAACTAAAAAATAAATGAACTCGTCAGTAGTCTATTTGGCTTGGGAGATATATTAAATTTATTTAAAATTTTCAAAAATTTTGAAAAGGGCTCGTTGCGACTATCTTCACGCCTAGAGACCAAAATCCAAGGGGATCAAGTTGAGATTATAAGTGAAGTGAATGTACATGTACGTGTGGAGGTAGGGGTTTCAGGAATAATTCGTACATAGCATATCATGATCATCATCATCTTCAGCCCGATCCTTCGCATATCGAAGATTGTCGGCAAACGCCATGGACCAAACCCGTCCACTTCTTTCTATCAACTGCCGTCCTCATGACCTCTGTTAAACTTTTTCTTGTCCATTTTGTGTCCATTTTCTTCCATCCAAACCTCGACCTGCCACGTTTTCTCTTAATCGGGTCTCTTTGAAATATTGTATGAACTCTAATTTTTTCAATGGCAGCTGGTGGCCTTGAAAAATAAGCTTCCTTTCTTTGATCTTGTTCAATAATTCATGCTCAAGGTCGAGTTCCTCAAGAACACTGTCGCTTAAATTGTTCGTCTTTCCCGCCACAATATGCGTAACTTTTTTCCCCTTTTCAGTTGCTTCTTTTCGTTTCTCCTGCTCTTTTTATTACCCATCATTTTTATTGCCCATATATGAGCACAAGTCATATCAAGGTCTTCGCTAATTTCACATTTAACACCGTTTGGTGTACTTTTGACCTTCCAGATATTAACCAGTTTGTTTGCTTTGGCCTTCGCCATTCCGATTCTCATTTAACACCCTTTGTTGAGTTTCCATCAACCGTTTTATAATTAACCGAGTCAAAATACTTAACATGATCAACTTCTTCAACCTTCTCTTAATTTCCGTCTTATAACTAGCATATGCGTGAAGTAAAATACGTGAAGGAACATAGTATATACATGTAGAAGGAACAATGTTGACATATGAAAATACAATTATATTGTATTTCGTTAACCAATTATTTACCTTAAAGTGGTTTTTTCGTTTGAAAATCATTACGTACGCGAACGAGGGAATGTTAACACCAGTGTGCACCAAAACAGTGATTTCTAGGACAAAGTCTGTCAATTTGCTTCCTAAGGCATGCTCTCTAGATCTTTTCCTTGTTTTTTTTTTTTTTTTTTTTTTTTTGTTGTTGTTGTTTTCTTATGTTGTATGGGCCTTAAGTTACCGCCTAAGATGTGGCATTGCTTATTGTTCCACGGGGTCGCCTTTTGAACAAATTCCAAACTGGTGGAATGTTGTCTGTCAAAATTTTCCTGTGTAAGTATGTGCGTGTGTGCGTGCATGGGTGCATGTGTGTGTCAGAGTTGTTTGTGTGTCTGTGTGTTTGAGTGTGAGCATGCTCGCACACGCATGTGTGATTTGGTGAGTATGCAGTGTGTTTCTAAGAGTTTGTGTGTCATGCCTTCTGTGTGCATACGTAGGTGTTCTCATACCGCCATCTACGGATGCATGTAATGGTAAAACTGACCGGTGTAACAGAAATGGAAGTCCTACAAATGGAAGTCCGGGCTCCCATATGATTAGTACAGGTTAGGGTTAGTTGAAGTATTGGGGTTAGTATATGGGGCGAATGCCACATGTACAAAGTAATGGGAAGCAGACTACTATTCCTAGCGGACTTCCATTCCTGTCACACCTGTATATACTTTTCAGACAGCCTGTCTTAATTTGTAGATCTAAATATCATGAGTTTGGAATAAATATTTTTGCGTTAATGCACATTTTTTTGTGGTAAGTGTTCATAGATGAGTCGCATTTACCACAAAAAGATAAAAAATTAAGTTACTGGTACATATATATACCTCGAGTGCTCACGGAGATTCCATCGACTGTATTACAACTTATGACTTAGCAATAAAATAAGTTCTTCATCATTTATGTTTTATTTTTTAGCATTCGAAATGCTGCATTACCGACAAAACCTTTTGTCACGTGTCTTTCAAAATGTGTCCTTTTCAGAGATCTGTACCAAAAACTGTGGTGTAAACCGATTACTCAATTTTCAAACCTGTACGTGTTTCTGCAACCAGGGTTGGACTGGGACTTTGTGTGACCAACGTATGTGGTATTCTTTGTTATCCATTATATTAAATATAAACGTTTTGAGAATCAATTACGGCTACTACATGTTTTGGACATAAATATTTTGGTTGTTCATTGAAATTATTAAGTTTGACTTTCAAGTATATAAATCACTTTTTCAGTTTTTTCAGTTTTTTCCAGTAATTAAAGACACGCGTTTTCATTCAAGTTCTACTTCATACACTTGAATAGCCGTCATTTTAGTTGACAGCATTTATTCTCACATAACATTAAAATTTTGCCGCTTCAGAGACCTGTACCAAAAACTGTGGTGCGAATGGAAACCTCAACGCTCAAACGTGTACGTGTATCTGCAACCAGGGTTGGACTGGACCTTTGTGTGACCAACGTAAGTACAAATGAAATACTTTGAGACCGTAATATAGTCATGAAGTTGTAAAGTTTTTTTTTTACATCCAGTTACGGTTCTGACGTATTCTTTGCATTGATTTTTTACCGTTGCTGAATTATTTTCTAAAATGTTGAATTTTAAATTTTTTAAACATTCTTTTACTATCTCCACGAATATTATGCTCTACGAACATTAACTATTATTCCAAGCTAGTTAACCGTGACAATGTGTTAATGCAAATAACGGTTTAAGCCACAAATGTTTCTCACAGGGGTGTGTAACAAGCAGTGCGTGTATGGCACCTTGGATAGCCAGTCTTGTACCTGCAACTGCTTCCCGAGGTGGGGAGGAGCTCTTTGCGACCAATGTAAGATATTTTTGACATATTTATGAATGAATGAATTTATTTTATATATGTATTACATCGCTGTCAATAGAGGGTAACTGTTGCTCTCTGCAAGATGCACCTTATATCTTAGGCTCTATTCCCATAGGTTTTAGATCGATCTATCCCCGCGGGGAGTCTCACTAGATTACTTTCAGATAATCCGACTTAAATGTCCGTCCCGCCTACTACAAGCTGTAAGGGGGTAATTAACTTTCGTGTCCGCCCGGCTGACCGCTATTTAGCGTGAACCCCCAGGGAGTTAGGTCGATCTAAAGTAGGTCGATCTAATCTATGGAAATGGGGTGTAAGACCGCATTCAGATTCACATATTGTAGATGTATTAGCTGGGTCGAACCAACTCTGCGGGGGATCCTTTCAAAAGTGCAATCAGTGTAAGTAGCTTAATTACTAGTATCTGACACACATCCTCGAGGGGGTACTTAACGTGTGCTGATTCAACTGATTCCACTGATTGCACTTTAGAATCCCCTGCAGAGTGGGACCACCCAGCTACTGCAATGTGTGCAGTCTGAATGAACCTTTAACTTACTATGCTCGCCTTGATACAAGGGATCTGACCTGGTCATTTCTTCACTTTTAATAACAAATAATTTGATTATTCAATTGTATTCAATTTTATTTTATTGAAATTGACATCGATGTATTGATACTTTATCTGCACCTTTATAATTTGTATTTTGCTGTCGTTATAGTTTTGTTGTCTTCTTTTTTTTTTTCGCATACTGGCACAGACATGCCCAAATAAGACCTTAACAAAAACGTTTTACTTCTCGTTTTTTTTCCTTTACTACTTCTCGCTAATTCCTAATTTCATTCACTAAATTCTGCTCAGACTTAGGGGTGGATGCAGCAAACGATGCATACACGGCTACCTGGACTATCCACGGTGTACTTGTGTGTGTCAACCGGGCTGGACAGGACCGACCTGTAATAAAAGTAAGCTTTGGATAATGATAACGAGATGGAGTGAGCATGCGCGGCCTATGAACCAGCTGGAAAACCAATGAGCGTTTAAACATTATGAATGGCAATTGGTGGGGTGGTTTGTGCTTGTGATTTAGCGCTATATTGATCTCTAATTAAGAATTCTAAAAAAAATATTCAGATGACGCGTGTGCGTGTGTCACAAGTTGCTATTATATTATCAACTGTGAATTTATACTAACGGACGTTAATAATTAAAGCCCATAGTCCTGTGTTTAGCCTTTAATGTTTCAGCGATCTCTTCTTGGCATTTATTCCTGTAACAAAGAGCAAGTGTCAGTGTTTTAAAGCCCATGCCACAGTGGAAAGTAAAAAAATGGCTTCTGAGTTCCAGACAGGAGGTAAACCAGAGATGACCCAGCGAGGCAGGGAACATATATATATATACACTTATTTTCAGTCTCTGCATATCCCAAATGCTTTCATTTCAGGCGAGTGACCCACCCCATATATGCACATACTTCTGCCTTTGGAAACTGCTTCTCATGGGGTGCTTATTATCTACAGATCACTTGTGATCGTCTACCGCAGAGAGATGGACCGGCGAATTAGGGAATGTGTCCATTTCAGGCGAGTGCCTCAATCCTGTACTTCTACCACCTGGTTTTCCCAGGGTCTGTAACATCACTCGTGTTTTTCTCATATTATTTCCTCGTTACTTCCAGGGGAGTGTCCGAACCAATGTGTCCGTGGCACACAACGGCCAGACTGCAGTTGTCATTGTCCACCCGGATGGACAGGACTTGAATGCAATACCCCAAGTACCGGTGGAGACACGTGGAGGATACCGGGTAGTTGAAAATCTTGATAACTTTTGTAAAAAAAATAAATAAATAACGAGTACCAATTTTTATTTACTTTTGCTTTTTCTTTCTGTTTCTTTACTGAATCCGCCAGCGTTAATGCATCGCATAAAACGTGAAGTCATTTTAGAGTATTAATTACATGTAACATCTTAAATAAGATATATGTATACAGCCGCAAAGCAATTAGTCTAATTGTCATAGGTCTAATTGTCATAGGTTTTTTTCAGTGTATCAGAAGAACTGCGGTTCACATGGAACCTTGCACGTACCAAGCTGTACGTGTCACTGCGAGCCTGGTTGGACAAGAACGCTCTGTACTAAACGTGAGTTGACGAAAACGCCCCTAATGTAGTGTGTCTTTCTGTATCAATAACTATGATTCAGATATGGTATTATTTGGAGACAGGTTCGCACTGTACTTGATGTGTAAATATTTCAAGCTGACTGGAGATATGAGCCACGGATCGACTCTCCTCCCTCCCATCATCTTCATCACCATTTGTCTCTCTCTCTCTCTCTCTCTCTCTCTCTCTCGTACATAAGCAGCAGAAACTGGGACTTCAGCCATGTATTAGATGTTAACTAAATCGTTCTTCCAGAATTAGGAATGTGCACCAAAACGTGCATGAATGGCGTCGTGAACCCTGCCACGTGCACCTGTCTCTGCTACCCCGGATGGACCGGTCCCACGTGCTCTCAACGTGAGTGAAACTAACAAAACGTTCACATGTTCAAAGCACGTGCACAATAAAAGCAAAATATACCCAAAAGTGAAAAATGTTCACCTGGTGTGTGCCTTATGACAGTTTTAGATTAGAGATATTATGAAGATTTTTAATTCAGGAGGCTGCAGCAAGAATTGTGTCAATGGTCAGCTACAGCTACCCTAGGTTCTAGATTCCGGTATTGCCAGCTCGATATCAATTTCATATATAACCCATATCAGCAATACCAGAAGTGACTCCAAGGTATATTAATATTTATCAAGCTAAACGTTTTTACGTTGCTCTGATACTCAGGGTAGCTGCAGCCTGACTGCAGGTGCTCTTGTCGCCCGGAATGGACTGGAGATCTGTGTGACCAACGTAAGAAAAGCACACCACTCCCTTCCTCCCCCTTTTTTATCTCTCGTTTTGTTACTATCCTACAGTCTCGTGCCCGATATTAAACCCCTCTTACCTTGTTGCATTTGTTACATTCAAAGAAATGAAATTCAAAAGATGACTTGTCTTATGTATTGTCAAAAAAAGTGCCGGGAATCAAAGTTCAGCAAAATGTGTAACCTTACATCATTTAAGATTGACCTCGACACACATACATATGACCTTGACCTACCATGGTTTACAAGCGTTTGTCCTTTGCTTTCATAACTCTTATCTTATACATTTGTAAGTTGCTTGACTGTCAATGGATATATTTCATTAGTTTTGACGTGTGTTTTATAAGATCACTATAACCTCACTTTTGTATATATTTTGATAAAGATTTGACCTCCACGTACATTATTTTACCCTTAGTCAGTTAGATACATGTACGACATTTTCTGTATTCAATACTCATCGATAGTTAGAAAATTGATTAAAACTTCGTTTCTTTGGAAATAAAGTTAAAATTGTATTTGAAACTGTTTTGGTCTTTTTTCGAGTTTCACTTTGGAATTTAAGCAAGACCTTGACCTTTGATGACTTCCATATTATTTTCAAATATATGTTCATACCTTTGTTCATGGGAAAACATACCTTTTGCAAGTTTTTTATTTGTTACCAGTTGTGATATACCCATATAAATAACAAAAATGCATTTTCACTTTTTTCTCATTAACGGTTTGAACGGTTGGCCATCTCTTGAAACTAGAGTCTTTGTTTGCACGTGTTTGTGCGTGTAAGTGCAACGCATGCGCGCGTTTGTTTGCACACGAGAGTGCATTTTTACGCCTGTATATGTAAAAATAATCGTAATCAATTGTAAGTGCGAACTTTTCCATAAAAAATATAAATTATATGTACCTTTCAGTTGTCAGTGAGAACTCGATAGGTGCCGAGGCCAAAAATATATTTTTGGACGAACTTAAATGAGGAAGTCGTGACCACGTTTGCTTGAAACGCTAACAATGGCTGTTCGGTTGACAGTAGTGGAAAATCGTATTACCCTATACCCAGGTCGACTAATGTGGCTTGTCTATAGTTTCTGTTTTGTCTCTTTGGTCTCTTATACAGTGAAGGGAATAGTTGGGTAACTGTTAGCGTGTGCGCTTTTGTTTGAACACTGATCTATTAATTGATGAGTGAAAATTCAAACACGCTCGCGCACAGTGCACACGTGCTCTTTCACTCTCTCTCTCTTATGCCCACGCAAACACACGTCCTCTTCCTCTCTCATACTAACGCAACTCACACATATACACACACAAATACGAAGACACTAGCGCATGGAAGAGGTCCATGTTCCGTTCTTGTCCGATATTGAGTTTTTCACTTAAATGCATAAATCATAGCCCGTTTGTTACCGTTCTTTTACATATCATTCTCAAACATTCCTGTGATATCAAAGCATGGTATTGGTCCAATGTTACCAAAAATTTTAACATGGAATTATTTATTTCCACAATTACTGTGCTTATATTATCACAGGCAACGAAAACTGTTTACATTTAGACTCTACAGTAATAAACCAAATTAGAATAAAAAGCAGCCACAAGACATCCATGTAAAAACATAAGTAATGATTAGGTGGTTTAAAAACAATTATTTAAATGTAATTGCTATTGTGTACGGCACATATGTGTAAGTAATGGATTTGCCCCAAGAAACCGTCTTCCCAATTGATTTTTTAAGCGTTAGGTGCATCGTCATCTTAAGCGCCTTCTTTTCCCTCACAGCGCGGTGCATTAAACCTAGAAGACATGATGGACCCTAGATTTAACGAAATACCTGGTGCGACTCCTTGTAATTTCGAAATAATTGATATTTAGATTCTAATGTGTTTGTTAGCATATTTCAGCCAGATACAGTGTATAAAACTTGAATTATAATACAGCTATATGACTGACACCAAAGCCGGTTTCACAAAACGGTTATAGCCCCAAAATTGGTCTAAAACTTTAGACCCAAATGTTGTCTACTTATCTAAAGATAAATCTGTATCTTTTTTGTACAATCATTCTGAAACATAAGCCATAACGTATTATAATATAAATATAAATGTATTTAAAGGCATTTGGCTCAAGGAAACTCTTCATACACAATTTGGTATAGTTAAAAAGCCAGTTAAAAATTGAAATTATATAATTTCCGAAATATGTTTCATATCACGTGCTGTATAAAGAAAAATAAGAAATCTGAGACAACATGATTTAAATCGAGATGGTATCAAAAACCTTTTATAAATATTATCCAAACACATTCTTAGTTTCATTTATATTTTCTTTACAGAAAGTTAAAGGAAAGACAACTTATCATTTTGTCGGGAAACGGTAATATTTCTATATTGTATATAGTCTGCAATGTATCTATTGTGGAATTTTGAATATCATATGATAAGACGTTATCCTTAAAGGGATAATAACTTTTCGTATGAGATCTATATTTCACGATAAAAACATTGTGAACAACTCATAGAAATACAATATATTCTGTTTTACCACAAAAACGGCAGTTATAGCTATTATTCTGATATCTGAGCTTTTCTTAGACCACGTGACCTCCATTGATGGTTATACTCTAGCTGTTATAATCTCTTAAGAGATTATAACAAAAAAAAAAACTTTTTAGAAAAAAAACAGGGACTAACTTTGTATGTAAACATGAATTCATTAACCATTGGTAAGTATGTGAAAATTCTTGTTTCCTCTAGGAAAACTCATTTTTTGGCGATTTCAAACGAAGAGTTATTAGATTGTCCCTTTAAAAATTGTAAAGAGACTGTCTTAAGGGCCCTGTGAACTTCCAGGTATTCAGGTTCCCTGGGATAACGTCAATGAAATACCTGGGTAAATGCCATGCAGGCGCCAACATTATTCTTTGTCGGAAACTAAAATGGCACTGTAACGATTCTTTGATACGTCATTTTTCATAGAGATAAAGGGTAAACGTGTTTGTTTGCATATTCACCCCTTTAGTCAAACAAATATGGGACATGTTGGAATCATAAATTTTTGTACTATCGCCAAACCCTTTATTCTCGTTTATTTGTTCTGTTATAGTTTAATGTTGATCAATGTTAAGGTGTTAAATTGATATTATTTTATTGGATTCAAGTAAACTGTTTCGATCATTATTCCCACTTCTTCACTTATTTACTTTTTACTGATAACTGTTATTATTTTTGTTATTATTATTATTGGTCTTTCTTTGTATTTTAACAGTTTTAAAATTTTGCCGAGGAAGAAGTGATTTGCTGCAACACATCAAAATTGTCTTTGTCAGAGAGTGAAAAAAAGTTTTAAACATTGTTTAAATGGTGTTTTAACCCTCATTTTGCGAACGTGATGTGACCGTGTAAAAGAGACACCCATTAATACTTACATGTAATTTTATATGGGCGTCTGGTCGTTCGACTGAATCACTGTTACCAAGCGGAAGGAATTTGAGCACGTTCGAAAACTGGCGATATATAAGAGGCGAACACTTATCCAGTGCCCTCGACACGTTTCAGTTGCAGGTTAAGAAAGAAACACTGCAGCAGTGGTTTTCCAGTTAGGAACTTACAGTCTGTCTTCTGATTAATGCCTGGTTTGAGATGATCACTCTGAAGGTGAGTTCAATGCTGGATTGAAATATCAATATTCTTTAACTTTGTTAAGATATGGCATTTTATATTTTAAATTATTTTATTTTACAGTGCCATTTATCCGACCAAACAAATCCAAAAATTGTCAATATCACCCCAAAATGCAAATAAAGTAAAAGCATTCAGGATGTCACTGCTGACGTGTTATTTGCATAGCACTATTACCTTAAGTGCTTAGGCCAGTGACATCATAATTTTTAGGATGATGAGTCTTATTTAATATTTAATATTTAATTTTTATCCCTAAGGCCATAACATTTAATGCAGGCAACGATTTGCTACATTGTTATTATTGTTAAAATTATTAGGATAGTGAGTTTATATTATAAAAGCGGTCTTGTTTGGCCAAATCACGAACAACCGATAGTCTTTGTTGCCTTCCCTTTTGTTATGAATGGGACTATGCAAGTTTGTGGAACACTGGGATGAAGGAGACATAAAAGCAGATATCGCGTTTACATGTAGGCCTACATCATACGTAAAGTTCAGATTATTAAACTGACCGTTGTTTCTGTGTTCTACTAGGGCACCTTTTCGTATTTTTTTATAATAATAATAATAATTTATTGAGCACATGAAATAAGTGTACATTTATAGGCTCTCTACACTACTAGTTATAATATACTTGAGTTTAATTAATACATGTACATAGTTATAATAAAATTAAAGTATTATTCCAGGTGTCATCTCATTTTGGATAGCTTCCGTTTTCTCATAGCACTGTTTATAAACTTTACAAGTGCGGACACACCTCTCTCAATTGACACATTTAATAGGGCGGATAGTGTATCGTATGCTAGACCCTGCACATTTACCTCTGGTAAGGCAGCAAATAATGTTTCTCTGTCTAGTTTATAAGTAGTACACTCAAGAAAAAAGTGAACTTCATCTTCCACTGCATTACAGTGAGGACACTTTCTGTCCTCAATTTTTGTTTTGGGGTGGGTATATCTGCCTCTTTCAATTTCTAACTCGTGGTCACTGACCCTCATTTTGGCTAGAATTTTTTTATATGTAAAAGGGACTTTTAATTCCAAATATGGCTCAGCTTCATAGGATTTCTTAATTTTGCTGTAGGTGCGGAGTTTGTTGTTGGTATTTCTATGGATTTCTTCCCAAAATTTTCGTTTTGTTTCGTTAATTATTTCTATTTCAAGATCTGGGTAGTTGTGGATTTCGCAAGTATGTCTGTTTGTATTAAGTTCCCAACATATTTTAATATTTGACATTGACATTTGACCAGTTACTTTCATTTTCTATTTTTTCCCTGTTATATGCTTGTTTAACAATTCTGTTATCTGGGAGTTCTTGGAGTCTATCACTGTATTTATCGGATTTATTTTTCAATTTGCATTAATATATATCGAAAGGTTTCATCTTTCACTTCAGTTCCATTTTCTCAACGAACATCGCTGGTAACTTAATACTTTTTTATCGCATAAAACTGCCTCTGACACTAAAATCTTTATACCGATACCCTGATCTTAAGCTAATAGTGGTCAACGCGGAAATTATATTCATTTTAGATAGTATTAAGTAGACTTGGCGGGGGCAACATTGTAATATGGATGTCTGTTGACGTCAGTTCGACTAGTTCAGTTAGTTACTTTACACTGCTCTGGGGATAAAAAGAGTTCAGCTTGCGTTATCAAAAGTGTGTTGCAGCCCCCCCCCCCCAACTTCAAAACAGAACTTATTATCTTCCCTCTAACCTGTCTAATTTATATCTCCTCTTTTCAGGTCTTTTATCAATCTCTCTACATCATAGCATCAATTCTACCGTTGCCCACTGAAGCAGGTAAAGTGCAAATACATGTTGTGTTACGCATTTGTTTCAAGCATGAAGTGTGTAACGAGTATCGCTAATACAGGATAAAAGCTTCAGTTCAGGTAGACGGGAACGTTCATTTGCTGGCCTAGCTCTGTTGTGCATCAATTATCGTTGTTCATCAAAAAAATCTTATGAGAAGATATGCAATATTCAACATTAAATAAAGAGGTAAAGGCTCCTCTGTAAACTACAAAGTATTAAAAAATGCAGTCTATTAAGCGTTTGGTTTACTACGTAAAATAAAAAAGACCCTTGCCCCCTCCTCTTCCCACCCCTTCCTACCTTAGAAATGCCACTCACAATTAAGCCCCCGCCCCATTCTTAATGTCGCCAATTGATACGGTACTAGTAGCTTAAGGCAGACTAAATGCAATTTATTCATTTCTCCTCTCTCATACGGTTGTTTAATAGACCAATGATGGACGCATTCACCAACAGTTATGTGGCAAGAAAGAGATGTACCCATTAATGCTAATCAGCCCTGCAGCGTTCGAAAATCTTTAAGGCCATTATTTAAGTCAAATGCATAAATGAAAGATTTACATTTTACCTGGATACACTGTTTGCAACCTACGAGTACCTGTAAATCTGAACACATAAGCAATATTTCTCTTCATGGTTAATTGATTTTTTCATTGTCCTATTTTGATATATTTATTCGTTAACCGGATTACTTATATTGCAGTTTAATGAAAACATGTTCAAATTATTATTGTTAGAAGTAGTGGTAATAGTGCCTGTAGTAGAAGTAGTAGTAGTAATACCCTGTAGTTTTGCCTATGTGTTAAGTTCAAATTTCATGAATGCCCTGAACACGCATGACATCAACCTCTGCAATGGCCATTAAAGTCTCTAACGCATTCTTCTTAAAACGGTTGACGTTCCATCAAGACCCTAAGATTGCAAATTAAACGATGAAAACCGTATTATTTTGAATCTGTACTTTGTTGAAAATAAACTGCACGTAGATGTAAAATGTGAAAATGCGTCTGACGTTGAATAAATGGTCGGGGCACCCTGGCTACCACAAGCGATTTTGAGCATTGTCACTTTTACCACACGATATTTACCGATTTGTCCTGTGTCTGTCAATCGGCATTGAAACTGCAAATGTGTGCGGTAAATGAGGTATATTGGTTGTATTGTGAGATAAATCAGTACCAGTATTTAGCCAGATGGGACCTTCTTCTTCTTCGTGTGCCATCACTGATATTTTGCCAAAGGGTTCTATTTCTCGCCCATGACCAAAGGTGTCCTGTTAATAATTCCAGATGGGGTATACAGGCAGCTGCAAATCTGTAAATATCGAATTTGGAAACATGTACATACATGACTAAAACCATGTCTTTTTAGTTTCTCGTGCTAAGCGTCAAGCCAACTGCGCATGCCCAGGTAATGGATTCACACCCCAGGAGAAACAAGCTCTTGTGGACCGTCACAATTTTCATCGGGCGAATGTGAACCCCATGGCATCAGATATGACACGCATGGTAAGTATGCGCATGCACGCATAAAAACATTAACAAAGAAGCATCTTTGTTATCACATGTCCGAACGCAAATGGTAATAAGATGCAATTAAAAAAACAAGAAGGTTATCTATATTTTCGGTTCCTTTAGTACCATAAGTAAGTAGTCAAGTACATGTAGTTAAAGTGGTTACTAAGTTAGTTAGTAAGTTAGTTGGTTTGGAACAAACATCAAACAGTTTCGGACAGATTTTCATGAAACTTTCAGAATAGGTCAGAAATGTTTAGGTTTTGATGATAAGAATTGCTTATAACAATTTATAACGGTAACATGCAGCAATATCGTATGTCATCTCTTTCCGTCCAGTTACGCATGCGCCGGAACACCCACCCCTTTTGGGTGCGCTAACTTCAAAAACTTTGCCAATATGCCATGGTTTTAACATTTATATTGGCACTTTTTATGACTATCAATGTGGTGAGTTGGCCAGCCAATACATGTAGGAACGATCAAATTGACAACTACTCTTGTGACCTTGACCTTTACCATCACAGGAAATTCAGAACAGCCCCATTGAGTACTGTTAAAGAACCAAATCAATCCCTACAAAAGAAATCGAGGGACACCTTATTGACTAGTTATCTCTGATACTGGTTGGTTAATAATAATAATAATAATAATAATAATAATAATAATAATAATAATAATAATAAGGATTTATATGTAATTACCTTGGCCCAGAACTGTGCCCTCTGAGGGCTTTTCCGGTTATTATTATTATTATTATTATTATTATTATTATTATAACTGTTGTTCTAGGTATGGGACGATGATTTAGCCAACTGCGACGCCCAGGCGTACGCCAACAGATGCATATGGGCTCACGGCACCGTCGACCTCACCGGCTGCCCTTACGACTTCAGCACACCGCAGTACAGAGGTCAGAATCTCTTTCCGTATCCAGCTTTCACGGCCCATAAACCGCACGATATTGCAAAAATGGTCGTGGACAGCTTTTACGGGGAAGTCCAATATTATGAATACCTTTTAAACAAGTGTGCAACCGGGAAACATTGTGGGCAGTATAAACAGGTAACAGCTCTAATAATGGTTAATAAATTTAAGTCAATAATTTTAGTAGGTTTATGCACGTATATCCACTAATGACCCCTTCTTCGGCTTGAAAGATATTTTTATTTTAATTAAATTTTTTCATGTACCATGCACCAAGCCCCCCCCCCCCCCACACACACACACACAAACACTTCTTTTTGTCTACTGCCGTCCTCTATTTAACTTCTTCTTGCCCCTTTATGTGTGTTAGTCTTCCTTCTAAACCTCGACCTGCCACGTTTTCTCTTTACCTGGTCTCTTTGAATTGCTGATGTAAGCAACTCTGATTTGTACAGTTGCTGCTGGTGGTCTAGAAAAATAAACCTCCTTTCTTTGATCTTGTTCTATAATTCATGCTCAAGTTCGAGTTCCCCAAGAACACTGTCGCTTGTTCGTGTTTCCCGCCACGATATGCGTAACATTATTCGATAAATACACATTTCAGCTGCTTCTTTTCGTTTCTCCTCTTTTTTTTTTTTATTACCCATCCCTTTTAATACCCATATATGAGCACAAGCCATATCAAAATCTTCGCTAATTTCACATTTAACACCGTTTGGTGTACTTTTGACCTTCCAGATATTAACCAGTTCATTTCTTTTGGCCTTTGCCATTCCGATTCTCATTTAACATCCGCTGTTGAGTTTCCATCAACCGTTTTAATCGAACCAAAATACTTAATATGTACAACTTCTTCAACCTTCTCAGTGCCGATCTTAATTCCTGCCTTATATTTAGCATATGCGTGAAGTAAATTACGAGAAGAAACATGGTATAGGTAGGAACAATGTTGAAATATGAACATACAGGCAAATTGTATTTGGTTAACTAGTTATTTACCTTGTAGTGATTTTCTCGTTTGAAAATTATTACGTACGGCGAATGAGGGATTTTTTTACACCAGTGTGCACAAAAAAAGTGACTTCTAGGACAAAGTCCGTCAATCTGCTTCCTGGGGCATGCTTTCAAGATCTATTCCTTGTTCTTTTTATTTCCTAGGTTGTATGGGCCATAAGTAACCGCCTTGGGTGTGGCATTGCTTATTGTTCCACGGGATCGCCTTTTGAACAGATCCCAAACTGGTGGAATGTTGTCTGTCACTATTTTCCTGTGTAAGTATGTGCGCGTGTGCGTGCATGGGTGCATGCGTGTGTCAGTGTTGTTTGTGTGTCTGTGTGTTTGAGTGTGAGCACGCTCGCACACGCATGTGTGATTTGGTGAGTATGTAGTGTGTTTTTTTTTAGTTTGTTTGTCATGTCTTCTGTGTGAATGCGTAACGTTCTCATAACGCTATCTACGCATGCATGTAATGGTAAAACTGGCCGATGTAACAGGAATGGAAGTCCTACGAATGGAAGTCCGGGCTCTCATATGATTAGTACAGGTTAGGGTTAGTTGAAGTATTGGGGTTAGTATATGGGGCGAATGTCGCCTGTACAAAGTAATGGGAAACAGACTACTGTTCCTAGTTACACCTATATATACTTATCAGTCTTAATTCGTCGATCTAAATATCATGAGTTTGGAATAAACATTTTTGTGTTCATGTAAAATATTTTTGTGGTAAATGTGACTCATCTATGAACAATTCATGTTTTTATCGTACGTAAATATGAAGAGGTAACTACATGTTTCAAAAACCGTACATCAATGGTGATGGCTGCTCTCGGTGCCCCGAAGGAACCGGTGGATGTACACCAGACAAAAAACTCTGCAGTAAGTTCAGGATTGAAATCATGTTTATCAGGATCGCTAAAATGTATTGAGTGTTTGTTTAACTATCTGTTTAAGTGTCTGTCTGTTTGTTTGTTTGTTTGTTTGGGCCACAAGTGAAAATTTACAGAAACCATGCCTTTCCTACATACATCAATAAATGGTGCACATGCAAGTTATATTACTGTCAGGTAGATAAAAAATTATATATATATAAGGGCTATAGTGCACACATCATTCAATATTAACAATTTTATGCAATTTTTATTTTGTCTTTCAGTCACAGCATACGAATGTAAAATTAACCCATCAGCTTGTGGTGGTAAGTGTGAAAGTTGCATCACATGTATGACAGAAACTGTATATTCATTGTGACATCGAAAATATTAGTCCCAATGAACATGTGCACCTACCTGAAGACCGTGAAAAGAATTTGACATTCATGTTCTATCGAAATATTTTAACTTGATCAGTATCATACGGTGAAAGTTCGAAAATAAAGTTACATACATAGAGCGCTCACGGAAATTTCATCGCCTATATAGAAGTTTTTCTTGATATGAATGTACAATTGCAGACCACGGATGCAACAAACAATGTGTGAACGGTTATATCAGCAGTGCCACGTGTATGTGTATGTGCCATCTTGGTTGGACTGGACCTCTGTGTGACCAACGTAAGTATACACATGCAGAGGCAGATCCAAGATTATTGGAAGGGGGGGTCTGGAACGACAGGCCTCAGATGCGAAGCCGACCAGCGCCCCCCCCCCCCCCCCCAACCCACCTTGACGTGGGATTCGAGGCCTGTTCAAGGGCCCCGAAAATTTTTGGGTTTTGGAGGGCAAACTGGTGCCCTTTTTTAATGTTTAAAAATATGATTAAGCTAGTCAAAATTCTAATTTCAAGAGGGGAATATCGATGTGATATATATTCCAGTCTGGTATTTTACAGTCAGCTGTCCTGATCGATCCCTCCTCTAAATCCGCTACTGCACATATATCATGATATATGTTATCCCCGTCATGGAGTGTAAACGCTTTTACATCCAGTTACGGTTCTCTTTTTGACATTTTGGATATTTTAGATATCTTCAAAGTTGTGTTGATCATGTCTACAAAAACTATATAATAAAATAAGTTATGCTTACTTTTACGTTTACAGACAATGATAGTTTTGTTTGTGAAGGTGAACCGTTACGTTTTTCAGCCATCTGTGTCAAGCACTGCGGCGCAAACGCAAATCTCAACACTGAAACCTGCATGTGTATCTGCAAGCAAGGTTGGACCGGGCCTTTGTGTGACCAGAGTGGGTATATGTGACATTCTTTGTAATTCTTTTCTTTACATGTGAACGTTTTAAAATCCAGTATGTATTTGGCAATGACTTATAAAGTTGTTTACTAAATATTTGACCTTTGACTTTCAAGCGCAATATCATCCTTCGTTATTCAAGCATTATGAGAAAGCACTTGTTTTGTTTGAGAAGATAAGCACCTACATTCTATTTAAAATTGACCTTTTTCAGAAGTAGACTGTACCAAAAACTGTGGCGCGAATGGCAACCTCAATACCCAAACTTGTACTTGTATCTGCAACCAGGGTTGGACTGGACCTTTGTGTGACCAACGTAAGTTATATTCATTATGGTCCATGTCATTAAATATAAACGTTTCACGGTAATGTCATTTTGGCACTAATTTTTCAATTGTTAATTGAAGCTATATACTTTGTTTTTTTAATTCTGTTAATCAGTTTTGCCATTTCTGAATAAGTAATTAAGTTAGTGCATGTTTAGAAATGTTTTGCTTTATACATTTGAAAAGCCATGGTTTTATTTGAAAAGGTTTATAGTCACATTCCATTCAAAATTTGCCCTTTTCAGAGACCTGCACCAAAAACTGCGGTGCGAACGGAAACCTTAACACTCAAACTTGTACGTGTATCTGCAACCAGGGTTGGACTGGACCTTTGTGTGAACAGCGTAAGTTTTATTCATTATGATCCCTGTCAGCAAATACGTTTTAAGGTTATGACATTTGGGTATTAATTTTTCAGTTGTTGGTTGAAGTTATACACTTTGGTTTTAATTTATGTTAATCAGTTTTGCCATTTCTGACTCAGTAACTGAATGAGTGCATTTTTTAGAAATGTTTTACTTTATACATTTGAAAAGCCATGGTTTTGTTTGAAAAGATTTATAGACAAATTCCATTCAAATTTACCTTTTCAGAGGTCTGTACCAAAAACTGTGGCGCGAACGGATATCTCAATTCTCAAACTTGTACGTGTATCTGCAACCAGGGTTGGACTGGGACTTTGTGTGACCAGCGTAAGTACATGTAAAATTCTTAGTGATCGTAACTTGTCAAGAATTGTTAACGTTTTTGACATCCAGTTGCGGCTATTATGTGTATTTGGCATTGCTTTTAACAGTTGTTGGCCTGTAATAGTTAGTATTTTACCTTTTCAGAGATTTGTACCAAAAACTGCGGTGCGAACGGAAACCTCAACACTCAAACTTGTACGTGTATCTGCAACCAGGGTTGGACTGGGACTTTGTGTGACCAACGTAAGTTATATTCATTGTTATCATATGTCATGAAACGTAAAAGGTTACGGTTCTGTATTATTCTTCGTCTACTTTCTGATTAGACTTTAAACATTTGGCTTTATGACTTTCAATCTATTTGGCACTTCAACAGAGCATTAAATATACGCGTGTTGCCATTTATGGCTCACTTAATAAATTAAGAAGTCATCATTTTGTTTTAGAAGCTTAACCGTTACGTTTCGTTCATAGTTTCGTTGACATCTTTATTCAGAAAAAAACTTCATGGGTAACAATGGTTAAATAATAAACTTTTTGGGACATTGTGAAGGTGATTAACTAATACTTACCTTAAATACCCATGGGCCTTGCAGTTGTCTTCTTACCTTCTGCACGAATATTATGTTTTACGAACATTAATCATTATTACAAGCTAGTTAACCGTGACAATGTGTTAATGCAAATAACGATTCAAGTCACAAATGTTTCTCACAGGGGTGTGTAACAAGCAGTGCGTGTATGGCACCTTGGATAGCCAGTCTTGTACTTGCAACTGCTTCCCGAGGTGGGGAGGAGCTCTTTGCGACCAATGTAAGATATTTTTGACATATTTATGAATGAATGAATTTATTTTATATATGTATTACATCGCTGTCAATAGAGGGTAACTGTTGCTCTCTGCAAGATGCACCTTATATCTTAGGCTCTATTCCCATAGGTTTTAGATCGATATATCCCCGCGGGGAGTCTCACTAGATTACTTTCAGATAATCCGACTTAAATGTCCGTCCCGCCTACTACAAGCTGTAAGGGGGTAATTAACTTTCGTGTCCGCCCGGCTGACAGCTATTTAGCGTGAACCCCCAGGGAGTTAGGTCGATCTAAAGTAAGTCGATCTAATCTATGGAAATGGGGTGTAAGACCGCATTCAGATTCACATATTGTAGATGTATTAGCTGGGTCGAACCAACTCTGCGGGGGATCCTTTCAAAAGTGCAATCAGTGTAAGTAGCTTAATTACTAGTATCTGACACACATCCTCGAGAGGGTACTTAACGTGTGCTGATTCAACTGATTCCACTGATTGCACTTTAAAATCCGCTGCAGAGTTGGACCACCCAGCTACTGCAATGTGTGCAGTCTGAATGTACATGTACCTTTAGTGGCTTTGCTCGTCTTGATACAGTACAAGGGATCTGACCTGGTCAATTCTTCACTTTTAATAACAAAATAATTTGATTATTTAATTGTATTCAATTTTATTTTATTGAAATTGACATCGATGTATTGATACTTTATCTGCACCTTTATAATTTGTATTTTGCTGTCGTTATAGTTTTGTTGTCTTCTTTTTTTTTCGCATACTGGCACAGACATGCCCAAATAAGACCTTAACAAAAACTTTTTACTTCTCGTTTTTTTTCTTTACTACTTCTCGCTAATTCCTAATTTCATTCACTAAATTCTGCTCAGACTTAGGGGGTGGATGCAGCAAACGATGCATACACGGCTACCTGGACTATCCACGGTGTACTTGTGTATGTCAACCCGGCTGGACAGGACCGACCTGTAATAAAAGTAAGCTTTGGATAATGATAACGAGATGGAGTGAGCATGCGCGGCCTATGAACCAGCTGAAAAACCAATGAGCGTTTAAAAATTATGAATGGCAATTGGTGGGGTGGTTTGTGTGTGTGATTTAGTGCTATATTGATCTCTAATTAAGAATTCTAAAAAAAATCATTCAGATGGCGCGTGTGCTGGTGTTACAAGTTGCTATTATATTATCAACTGTACATTTATACTAACGGACGTTAACAATTAAAGCCCATAGTTAAATTGTCCTGTGTTTACCCTTAAATGTCCCAGTGATTCCTTCTTGGCATTTATCCCTGTAACAAAAAGCAAGAGTCAGTGTTCTAAAAGCCCATGCCACAGTGGAAATTATCTTTATTTGTATCTATATCAAAAACCAGTAGCAGTAAAATAATGGTTTTTGAGTTCCAGACAGGAGGTACACCACCTCATAGAGAAGACCCAGTGAGGCAGGGAATATAAATACACCTATTCTCATTCTCTGCAAATCCCAAATGGTAGTAGCTATATCATAGACCCGACTGCTTTCATTTCAGGCGAGTAACCCGCCCCGTATAAGTACCTCTGCCGTTGGAAACTGGTTTTCATGGGGTGTTTATCATCTGTAGATCACTTGTGATTGTCTACCCCATGCAGGGAATGTGTACACGCAGCCGTCTGAAACTCGTTTCATTTCAGAAGAGTGCCGCCACCCTGTACTACTACCGCCTGGTTTTCCCAGGGTTTGTAACATCACTCGTGATTGTTTCATATTGTTTCCTCGTTCCAGGGGAGTGTCCCAACAATTGTGTCCGTGGCACACAACGTCCAGACTGCAGTTGTCAATGTCCACCCGGATGGACAGGACTTGATTGCAATACCCCAAGTACCGGTGAGTATCGGACACGTGGAGGATACCAGGTAGTTAAAAATCTTTTGTAAAAAAACTTTTGTAAAAAATAAATAGATAACGAGTAACAATTTTTTATTAACTTTTGCTTTTTCTTTCTGTTTCTTTACTAAATCCGCCAGTGTTCATGCATCGAGGATACATACTCATTGTAGAAAAAGATTTTAAAAATGTGATGTGATTTTCGAGTATGAATCACATGTAACATCTTAAATAGGATATATGTATACAGCCGCAAAGCAATAAATGTCATATCGTTTTTTTTTTCAGTGTGTCAGAAGAACTGCGGTCCACATGGAACCTTGCACGTACCAAGCTGCACGTGTCGCTGCGAGCCTGGTTGGACTGGAACGCTCTGTACTAAACGTGAGTTGACTGAAACACACCAAGTGTGGTGTATCTTCTTGTATAAATAACTGAAATGGTTGTGTAATTATTTCACGTTGCCTGTAGATATGAGACACGGACTCTTCTCCATCTCGTCATCTTCATCGCCATTTCTCTCTCTCTCTCTCTCTCTTGTGTAATTTTTTTCGTCATATTCGAATTAATTAATTAATCCTCCGCAACAAACTGGATGTGCGTGAACGACGAACATCCTTTATTACTCTCTCTCTCTCCCTCTGGTACATAAGCAGCAGAAACTGGGTCTTCACCTGTGCATTAGATGTTAATTGAATTGTTCTTCTACAATTAGGACTGTGCACCAAAACGTGTATGAATGGGGTCGTGAACCCTGCCACGTGCACCTGTCTCTGCTACCCCGGATGGACCGGTCCCACGTGCTCGCAACGTGAGTGAAACAAACAAAACGTTCAGATGTTCAGAACAGGTGCAACATATAAGCAAAATATACACTCAACAGATAAGGCATTACATCTCATCCATAGTAGCGCATTCAAACTTTTTATTTTTAAACGCTTTATATGCCTCTTATGATATGAACGATAACTGATAACGGTAACGATATACAGTGAAGAGATATTTATGTCAAGTTTTTTAACTGGCTTTTAAGATTAACTTTCACGAATCGCATGATGTGAAGGCTGTTCATTTCACCATTCAGGAGGCTGCAACAAGAATTGTGTCAATGGTCAACTGCAGCCTGATTGCACGTGTTCTTGTCGCCCGGGATGGACTGGAGATCTGTGTGACCAACGTAAGAAAAGCACCCACTCTCTCTCCCTCTCTCTCTCTCTCTCTCGTTCGGTGCTTTTCCTGCAATCTCTCTATCTCTTTCTTTCTCTCCTTCTCTCTTTCTCTCTCAAACGAACACACACCACACGCACGTGCTCCCTCTCGTGTCGAGGTTGTTTCCATTCCTCACTTATAATTATAAACAACGTTTCTCATTCTCTCTCTCTATCTCTCTACTTTTTTCTTTGATGAACATTTAGTAGTATACAGGATAAAACCTAGATGAAATTGTCATGATCTGTCGAGATAAATGTATTTTTCTATGAAAAAAATAATAAATACAAGTGGGACTATTTTATTCTTATCCCCAGCCCTGAATTTGTCAACATTTGGAAATTCTCAGTATTTTGTAATCGACAAAACATCATGTTTATTTTACACAAATTTCCAGCCCTCGGCTCAGGTTGTAATAAACAGTGTTATAACGGCGGGGTCCTGAACCAAAATACGTGTGAATGTATATGTCCGCCCGGATGCGATGGAGCCTTATGTCAATTTGGTGCGTTTCTTTATCTTCTTTTGAATATTGGGTTTTCTGTTGTAGGTAAAAAATAACCTATTTATTTGGATTTTATTTGATCTTTTATTGAAATATTTCTCAAGATCAAATGCATTGTGATTTTTTTACAAGAAAATGAGCGTTATTCAATATTATAATGAGCACTAGTATCTGTATATTTTACACAGGAATTAAATGTCGATTTGTAATTTTTCCTTGAAAAGTCAATTTTACATGCAGAAAAGTAAAATTACATCAGGATGACAGGTTTTTCCAACAGAACAAAATACTTCATTTTTTTTACTTCAGTTAATTATATATGCCATCGAACGTGTCAAAATGGCGGAACTTTCATCAACATTTTGTGCAAGTGTCACTGCCCCCGGGAATACACGGGAGAACTTTGTGAAAGCCATATAGGTACGTAAACTACCGAAAATAGCCGAAAAACTATCAAATAATTAAAAGCACTGATATCCATTAAATCTTTTAGATGACATAAACATGTTTCACAGAAAAAAATATCCCATTTTGGAGTTCTCTATCAACTTTCAATTTTATTGATATTTTCTTCTTTCGAGTAAATAATAAGGATAGGTTTGCAGAGACGCTCGATATGGTGGAAATTTCGAACTAAATGTTTTACAGAAAAGTTTATGATTTTTGGGCAAATCCAACTCGACGCTGAAAAATTGTGAATAATTTTATATCAGTTCGAGAAAAGGGGTGACTCATGTGTATAAAGGTGTGTACGACACAGAATATTTATGTTAGGAAATAATAGTGACTAATTACACGTGGAAGTTCTGTAAAGTCACAGTGCCTGTGGACAATATGTCGATGGCGCAATCACTAACACTTCAATTAGTAGATACTACCGGCCCAAAATGATATAAAACGTGTACTCATCTATTTAATAGACGGAAAGAAAAGCACTTAAAGTGACAATAAAATGTCTCTTAAGTGGTCTCTCACTGTACTTAAATACCCATTTTCCTGTCGTTATTTCAGACATTTTGATATGGTGACTGTATTTATCTTTGGGCACTGAAGAGAACTTGTCTCTGCTGCGCCTATAGGCACAGGTGCATTATTTTCAACAATCGTATCAAATTGGGATTCTATTTGTTACAGGTCCTTTCAAATTCATATTGGTATAAGGGACTGTGTCATTCAACAGAACACTTTTTCTGAGGGCGTGGCAAAAAGGAGGTGCTGGATTGGTGGTTTTTGCCTGTAACCATGACGACCTTCCAACAAAGAACCTTTGAATGTCTGGAGATCGACAAGCGTGGACCTGAAAATGAAGTAAAAAAACTGCGTGTGTGTGCGTGCGTACTTGTGTGAGTGATTGAATGTATGGGCTCGTGCGCGCTATTGCTGGATATAAACTACGCCATCAACGCCACATGTTGTAGGAGAATTGGTTACCATAGCAACGACCTGATTAACATCACATTTTTCGGTCCGTTACACATATGATTAAGCAATATTAACGCCATGTGGTATATTTTATTCACTTTGTTTACACTCATATTATTGGACGGATATACTCGAAATGCTTGCCATTAATTCAATATATACCTTGTAATTTTACCTGGTAGGATAAGATGCTAAATGAACAGTCAAAGTAGAAATATTTTTTAGAACATTTGAATACAATACTATGTATATAGTATTTAAAACTAATAATGGTCTTAACCATTGAACCACATGCCAATTTTAATTTCAACACAAATTTTGAAGCTTTTTCTCACAAGTTGAAGACAATAAAGTTATAATCAAACATAAAATTGAGGATGGTACATCACGTCTCACTTCTCTTACGACAGTAGACATTTTGTGCTGTATGCATTTAAAGCATTTTAAACAAGCAATTTTACGATTTCCTAAACACCGATGTTGCCTTGAGGTAAAGTAATTACCGGCACGAGAAAACGTTAACACGAAGGATGGCATGTATTTTGTTAGAATTATAACAGAGGAGATAGGTTACCCTGTATTAGATAATACAGTTACAGGCTTTATATAGGGATCACAACTGTTCATTTTGGGCCAAAATGTTTTTTCCTGGGGTAAAGTTAAAACGACAAATCTCCCATGCTTACCAACGGTCAACGATATTCCTTACCAACATTCAAAGTTAGCTCTTGTTTTTTGTTTTTGTTTTGTTTTGTTTTTTTCTCTTAAAAGTTTTTTTTTCTAAAAAAAGTTTGGTTTTTGTAATTATCTCTTAAGAGATTATTACAGAGGGTAGCAATCTGTGGAGGCCAAGTGGTTCGATGGCAGGCACAGATTCCACAATAATTGCTAAAACCGCCTTTTAGGTGAAAAAAAAAGAATTTATGATATTTCCATGGGTTACTCACAATGTATTTATTGTAAAACATGGGTCTCATATGGAGAGTTGTTGTCCTTTTAAATGCTATTATAATTGTACACTGAAGCTGTAAAACACACCTGTATGCTAACGAGTTTTATAAGCAGATAGTAAATCTTCGGTAGGAAACGAGACACTTAACGTGTATTTTACGACGGGAACACAATGTTGGAACTGTTCCCAAACAAAATGAATATATTCTAAAAAGAGGCAGACCATTTGATTTATTTTACAACAATAACACATTCTGTTGTGGTTAATGAAATTTATCATGGAGAGAAAATGCTTGTATCATTATCTAGAAAAGAAAACAGAAAAAAATCAAACCTTTCATCATAAGAATGCATCAGATTCGATAAACAACACTAGACAAAAAGTCCACGATTTGAACGAATAGTATTTAATTCCAATTTCATTCAAATGATACACTATTTCAAAAATATAGACAGAAATCGATGCCAAGTTCCTTTTTGTCCATAGATACATGTAGAGGAAAGTAGCGTATAAACTCCCGGGATATCTTCTCTGGTATCAACCTGGTTTTGGATCTGAAAAGTGAAATAAAATGCTATTTATTTTCGAAATTTATGTGACTGCAGTACTGTCGCTATTAATATATATTGTAGGCTCGTGGGAAACATTTTATTTAACGCTGCATTTATTGGAGCTACTATGCGGACTATGGACGTCATTTTTTTTACAGAAACTGTTGGAAAATGCTGACGTGAAATATTCGTTCCGTAACTGCTATACTCAGAGAAACAATTATGCATATACTACATATAATGTATGAGACAATACGTGCTTCATGCAACGGATGCATGTAATGCATAAAACATTGGCTGCAGTTGTACGCAGCAGTTGAACGTAACTTGAAAATTTTGTGGGAATTTTCAGCCAGAAAAATGTACTTTGTCTCGGCTTGATAACATGGAGAACTTAATAAAGAATTATAGAACACACATAATTGACTATTTTTAATAACAGCTGAGATCCTCACAAACGTGTACACCTACTTTGTTTGAATATGATATATTTTTTTTGGTTTCGGTATTGAAGGACACTGTGTCTTGTCGGTACTTACCTAATTCCAATGTGTCTTCTACGTCATGCTTAGTGATAGCTTCTGCCTGCTCCATTGTTTACTCCGCTGTTGTAAACGCCATAGTTGCCGACGCCACTGTTGAAATATCCCTTGTTGTTTATTCCGCTGTTGTAGGCACCACGGTTGCCGTACCCACTGTTGTAGGCACCACGGTTGGCGTACCCACTGTTGCGATTACCGTATCCAGAACTTCCGTACCTTCGTCCATACCCATTGTTATTACCATACCCACTGCTGTATTGACCATTTCCATAACCAGCATTACGTTGGTGATAGCTGTTTCCCACGCCGCTGTACCCGTAACCATAGTTACCGACGCCGCTGTTGCCATACCCACGATTTCCCACGCCGCTGTTTCGAGCTCCGTAGTTACCAACGCCGCTGTTGGTGTTGCCACGGTTAACGACGCCGCTGTTGTCGCTGCCGCGGTTGGCAACGCCGCTGTTTCCGTAGCCAACGTTATAGTTGCCGCTGTTTCTGCAGCCGATGTTCCCTATGCCGCTGTTTCCTTGGGCACAGCGTCGTTTGCCGTATCTGTAAATATATATTAAACAAGCACTGGTTGTGAACTGTTTTTTTTTCCTAGGATGACTTGTAAGCATGATGAACGGTGTTTGATGGTTAAACAAGCTTAATGTATCCACGCTTTTAGACCTAAGGGGCACTCTGTAGGGATTTAAATGTAGGTTTGTGACATTGCCCGACAGTCATGTCTCGAGTTAACATGATTTAAGCTACACTTTTTATGACAGCAAACTTGTTGACTGTCACACCTGGGTGTTCCTAGTTCTTGAATGAGGGGGAGAGAGAGCAACAAATTTTTGTTGGGACCAAGAAAATTTCAAATTTGATCTAGCAGAGAACGCTTTTGGATACGATTACGCATATTTTATACCAATTGAAAAGACGAGTTCGCATTTGACAGCTACATGTAGGTTAAAGATCGTCAGCTCGCTTTAAGTTTTCGTGGAATATCTATCCCTGTAGCTCCTTTTTCTAGCCTCCATATCTTTTGGAATATATGAAATTAGCTTTTTATAAAATCCAAATACAATGGGTGATAGAAATTAAAATAAATTAAAGCAATAATATGATACAGAGAAATAATTTTGCACACTTGAAAGTATTTGGAAATGATCCGATGGCTACAAAATACAGGTATTTTAATAATATCCTAAACAGTGTTGGTCATTAAAGGTAGTAATTCCTGCTTTGAACCCAACATATTAGGACCCAGTTCATACACAACAAAATAAAACTCATCGAAAACGTGTCTTGCTTTTGGAATTAAAGTAAAGCACCGACTTACAATTACTCCCAGTTAACGCCACGACTCCAAACAAACGCATTGCTCTTGTAACCACAATTTTGTTGCCAGCCTTTAAATAATTTCCGAATAAAGATAAAGTAAACACACGTATGTTTGCTAATACACTTACCCTGGTGAATCGCTGGCACAAGCTATCGCCAATGAGATGGCCAAAACAATCAAAACCTTGCACATCTTGACGTCTTCTGCTTGCAGTGCTGTTGCTATCTACGGTAGGGATCTCTTAGGCACACTTTTCTATTTGTCTGGGCGCGCGGTTATATACCGCCAAACCCTTTGCTGTGGGCAGTGTTCTGACAAATGCATGTCACGAGCGTTAGATGAAGCCAGCATGACTTTAACGACTTTGTCACCTGAATTAGTTCTGTTTTGATGGCACCTATATTCTCCACTGAGTTAATGAGAAAATTAATCCTAATATTGGATCTTTCGTTGATGCGGAGATCACGGCGTTTTGACCTTATCGTTAGGTCGTCTTCAGGTGAAGTGATTTGGAATAGTCACCGGTGTCAGTTTAATATAACTGGATTTATAAAATCACTTTAATGAACTCTCTACACCTAAAAAGCCAGACACATTCTGATGAAGACTGGCGTTAATTTAAAAAAAAATGAAAATGCAAATATATTATGCATCGTATTAGGTCATCAAACAGACACACCACCGCCATACAATCTTGAAGTAAACAACAAAAGAAAATAAATTACTTTTAATATAATTTTACATAAAAAGTCGATTTAAATCATGTCAATTTTATTACATAGTGATCATGAACCGCTATTTATAATTTATTTGATTGCATACTTCTGAATGTGTGTACACTTTTGACCACCGCCAGTGGAGTGTCTTAAAGAAATCCCATGTCATATTACTATAAAACCCTCCGGTGTTTTTTTCATTGTAATGCATATTCATACCTCATTGGAGTGGGTTGTATTTTATGGTCGCTCAATGAGATAATGCGAAAACGACCATTCAGAAGTTCTCTGTTGTTCTTTGCGCGCCTTAAGAGACAAGAGGCGGCATCCATCTTAAAGGGTTGCATTGTTTTGCAGGATCTTATATTTAACATTCATAGTTGTCAATCGAGTTTCTTTGAAGTTTGGCCTCCGGACGATTTGCCCATGTTTTTGCGCTAGGTGGATTATTGCCCACGGGGACAGGATACAAGCTAAATTCCGTCATGCTCGTCAATGTCATTGATACTGGCAGCAGATTTCTTTCAAAATGTAATCCTGTTTAGTTAATGGAAGTTGTTTAGGTCTCCACATTGAACATTTGATAATGTTGGAGAAGTGAGAAGAGTGAAAGAACACCTGAATACACGAGTACCTCTTTAACATTTGACATACACCGACTAATCCAAAATATTGCTGGGGGGGGGGGGGGGCAAGGGGAAAAAAGAAAGATCGCTTGATTTCGTCTCGTTTCGCTTGTTATACCAGCTAAAAAGCAGGTGAAAATGGGGGTACCGCCGAAGTCGGGGGGGGAGGGGGTTTACCAGAGGGACACGTGACCAGACGTGCCTTGTTCGTGATCCGCCACTGACATGAAGTAAAGCTGTGACAAAATGTTAGACTTTTATCAGACTGAAATAAAGAGATGACGGAAAAGGTGTTACAGCTTTGAAAGGTGTAGAAACTGTTTGGTGGTTATAATAAGGTTACCTTTTCAGTGATTATCTAAATTTAAAGGAACTTGTGGAATTATATTGATAGAAAAAAGGAGAAAGAAAGAAATAACGATGAATGGATAAACGAAAGAATGAACGGATGAACGAAAGAATGAATGAACGAACGAACGAACGAATGAATGAATGAATGAATGAATGAATGAATGAATGAATGAAAAAGAAAGAAAATAAGATTATAGACAGAAAGAGAGTGTCGAGTCTTCCTTTAGGCATACTTTCACACAGGAAACAGTTGATTGAGACCTGACCCGACTTGACCTAAGACACTTGTTAGGAATGGCACGCGAGTTGACGGCTTTGGGACCAGATGCCCGGAGCACATTGACATTAATTTCTTTGATAAATCAACATAGGTAAGGTGTCGTTGGTTTCATTGTTGGCTATTCCCCACATGGACGGTGTCATTTGATTGATGCACGGCCATAAATTTAGAGGCAAAAGTTGGAGTGTTTCCATGTGCGAGGTGGAGGGTGTGAGTATGTGTACGAGAGAGAGAGAGAGAGAGAGGGAGGGAGAGGTGGTAGGGAAAGGGAGACGGAGAAAAAAAGGTTATCCAATTAAATGATAGTATGTGGTTTACCCGAGTGACTTTGTATTTTGACAAAGGTGACGAAGGAAAACATCCAACCATTGTGAAAAAGTAGTCCGCGCTTGTCGCCATAGGTGTAATGTTTAAAGTGACATCTCTTGCAAAGGTCTAATTCCGATTAAAACTTTTTGATTGAAACTTTACGTAGATCGATCCAATTCCGCGGGGACCCTCGCTGAATGCAATCTGCTTAACATGTTTACCTTGATCTCCTGCTTCTAATGTACTCTTATAATCATCAGCTTTTCTGTTTTCTACTCAACACCACGAGGACGCGTGTGTTTACATTGGAATTACTGTTAAACGATTGAAATCTATTTGAGGTTGCTTTAAAGTTGCCAAAAAAGTTGTTATCGCAGTGTGGCCGAAGTTTAGGATATATCGTCTCAATTTAATTTTTCCTAAAGTGAAAATAATGATGACATTGGTCTTTAATGATGGGCAACATCCGAAATAGCATGACCTGAAGTGGAAATATATTAAAAGCGATAAGAACACTGTATATGCTGCGAATGTCCTTCTGTAAAACATGGCATAAGATATCCATGTGTAACGAACGAATAGTAGACTACTATTTGGGAGTATTTGGGAAAATTTTTTGTAAATTTTACCTGTAAGGTGTTCGTGGGAGGCCTGATAGCTCAGTCGGTTAGAGCGTCGTGCTAATAACGCGAATGTCCTGGGTTCGAGCCCCAGTCGGGCCACTTGGGACTTTTTTGTCATAAAAAACCCTCTTAAATGGGAAGTATGTTAACTACGCCGTTCTCCCTCAGAGAACAGTTACACTTGGAGGCGATTAAGAGATAGAGCGCTTTCAGAACAGATGATCCGCAGGCTAAATATGGCCGACCGAACTTAAAAGCAGCACCGCTAAATCTTCATGGGGTCTCCCTGCCTCCACACGTGTCATTAAACGGATGAAATCTCAGCTCCGAGGTTTAATTGCAAGGCCACCTACAGCGAAGGCGCGTGTGGAGGCGGGGGGGGAGGGGCGCTATGGAATCAACCGGCGCTGCTTTAAGTGAGTCGACCATATTTAGTCCGCGGATCAACTTGTTTTGAATGCTCTCTAAATTGACAACGCATACAGGGTTACTTCTTAATATGGAATATTTTTATCATTGTTATTTTTGAGTGCTGATTAATTTTTTTTTGCCTTGATTCATCAAAAATGTATGTCATTGAGTGATAAAAATATCCAGTCTCCTATTGTGAGATATTTTGGTCAATGATATCAAATCTGACATAAGATGTCATTCAAAAGAAAAGAACACCCCCAAAAAACCATATCAACAGTTTGATGTCAGTATTGATTTTAAGCTAAGATATTAAAGAAAATGATAGCCTCCGGACAGTGATATGTTACACAGTCAAAAAATTCATTTCAGTAAATCATGAAAAGTCATCAATAGCCGGTGTGACCACCAGCAGCCCTCATCCTACATGGCATACCCTGTGGCAAGTTTTTTAGAGTTTGGATGGGGATATCATTCCACGCAGTGATACTTGCCTGTCGCAGTTTATCACTATTTACCGGCCGATGACCATAGCTATTTATTCTGTGAGTTACTTCCGCCCACAGATTTTCAATTGTGTTCATATCTGGGGAGTTTGCAGGCCAGTGCAGTGGCTGAACCCACTGGTTTCGAAGAAAAACAGTGATTCTGCGAGCTCGATGTTTGCGCAGTCGTCTTGCTATACAAATCGAAGCATTGTTTGCTGTAGAATGTCTATGCAGGAATCCTGGTTGAGGTTGCCTCCTAGAAAAACCAACTGGTTCTGGGAACCGGCATGAAATGTTCCCCAAACAGAGACGTTACCTTCCCCTGCTTGCACCCTAGGCAGTACACAATCATCGTTTCATGTCTCTCGTACACGTCGGTGGACACGGGTTCGATCGTTAGGTATTGGGGTAGGTGCCCTTGTTGCAGCATTTCTTTGGAGGACTTAACAAACGGTTTCTAATAAATGTTGAATTACCCGGCAATGGCTGTCTGTTTCTGGCCATTTTCTCTAAGAGCAAGAATCCCATAGTAAGCTGCGTTGCTTAGATGTCGAACCATATCTTCACTAAGGTACCTGTCAAGTTTCAGAGCGATCCCTTTATTGCTTCTCTAAATACACTCCAAAGATTGGCCAAACCCATGCGTTTTTATACAAGGGCAGAAATTGCAGAAAAGACAACCCCTCACATTTCTGACCACAGAACATGCAACTGCATGCATCAATTGTTTCGCGAGTTGTGTGGTAATTAGGTAACACACCTGGCTACACACGGAATGACACCTCAGTTTTGGATTTGAAATAGTTAGAGAGGAAATAAACATTTTGTAGAAAATTTACTCGCCAAAAATAATATTCCATATTAATTAGTAACCCTGTAATTCACGCGGTTTAATTAAGAACATGACTGTATTGTGGTTTTCTACAGCTTTATTGTATAGGCTTCTTGAATACCAATAAGTATGGGGGTACACCTTGCTTGTAGAAGCTTTGCATCTACACTCTTCTTGAAGTAGGAGCTAGGTGTCTCAAGGTGTTTCCCAATGTCTCAAATGTCTCTCTCTCTCTCTCTCTCTGAATAACGAATGTATACCTGTACGTATACTGTATAGAGAGCCTTTCTTTTAAAAAAGGTGATGATTATACAACTGAAATTCATTTTACATGTAGTGTAATAATATACGGAAGTGCGGGCCAGCACGACTGTACACAACTGTACATAACACCCACTACTGAATACCACACGCTGGCTCTTGTCAGAGAAACTAAGTACTTGGCTAAATTATAACCTAATATACCCAAACTCTGAGTAATAAACAATAAAGCATTATAGATACATAATGTATAAACTGCCCAATAGGCGTAAAGAGAGTTATATGCCACTGTCAGACAGTGTGGCGGAATTATCTGCTTTAGGTACAAGTAACAGCGCGGTTACACATGATAGGCCTATGTATAATCCTGA